ACCTCTTATTGCCAAAGAGAAAAATGACAATCATTGGATTTAAACTGAATGTGGGTTTACACTGTCATCCAGGTCAGATGAAAGCTTTGATAAACCGCTGACACACTAGGACTGGCCATATGATGGTATGATCAACATTGTAATATAATAATATCCTCATTATCATATCAACATACATTTGAAATATATAAAGTTTGGGTAAAAGACTATGCCTGAAGCTTGATCTTTTTCCTAGTTAAATTTCTAGAAATTCCCATCTCTCTCCATTTTTACTAGTGACATTATTTCTGCAATCCACCACCTCCCTTTCTCCCTGTCTCCCCAAGCATCTTTAGTGAGGGGCCTGGGTGTGTCATGTAAAGCAGAACCAGCCCAGCCCAGTTCTCCCTGCACTTTCACAATCATTAATGACATTTAGTTTGGGTCATGGTCCACACTCGCAGAATAGGGGGTTATTTCCGTGAACTGGTCAGGGCTGCAGAAAATACAGAGTCTATCCCATTCAAATTTGACATGCAGGGCACCATGGAGGAAACCCGAGAATCTGGAGGAATCCCACATGAACACAAACAGTAACTCAAGCTCAGGATTGAACCATGAACCCTGGAGCTGTGACTCAGCAGTGCTACCCATGGCACTTTGCAGGCTTTATGTAACAGTATATACAAAGTAATCAAAAGACTGATTAAGCCTGCTGAAAGATTTCATTTTACAGGGTTTTTTTTACAAACTTAAGGCATTCCAACAGCCATTTGAAACAGCTACGTAAACTGCAAATGAACCGAATAACAAATTTGCCACGATAATTTTAAATCTCAAATGTAGACTTATATGAGTATTAAACTAGGAAGTCAGAAGTGGTGTCTAAGCTATGCATGAAACACTCTTTTCACTGTGTTTTTATTTTATGCTTATTTTTTTCTCCCCATTTTCTCTTTTCCATTTTTTTAAGTTGTTTGTTAGGTGGATTATAATGCTTGCTAGACATTGTATGTTTGCTCTACTTGACTAATTCCAGGTGACTGAGAATTAACATGGCTCTTTATCCTAATTTTGTTTGTAGTGTGGATTTGAAAAACTGCTCTGCTCTGCCAGAGACATATCTCCCTGCGGTTCTCGCCTGGTTTCCCACTGAAGCTAAGCTGGGATGAGCCTGGCCTGTACCTGGATGTGAGACCTCCTGGGGAAACTAAGGTTGCCGCTGGAGGTGGTATTAGAAGGCCAGTATGGGGCACTCACCCTGTGGTCTACGTGGAGTCTAATGCCCCAGTATAGTGATGAGGACATTATACTGTAGAAACAGCACCATCTTTCTGATGAGACATTAAACCGAAGTCCTGACTCTCTGTGGTCATTAAAAATCCCAGAACGCTTATCGTAAAAGAGTAGGGGTAGGTGTCCTGGCGAATTTCCCCCACTGGCTATTGTCTATCATGGCCCCTTAATAATCTCCATTCCTAAACTGACTACATCACTCTCTCCTCTCCACTAATAGCTGGTGTGTGGTGGGTGTTCTGGCGCACTATGGCTGCCGTCACATCATCCAGGTGGATGCTACACACTAGAGGTGGCTGATGAGACCCCCCCCAATCTATATAAAGCGCTTTTAGTGTCTAGAAAAGCTCTATATAAATGTAACTAACTAACTAATTCTGTTTTGCCACATGCTGGCTGAACAGATGTGACTTAGTGGTTAGCACGTTCGCCTCACACATCCAGGGACTGGGGTTCGATTCCTGCCAGGGCCATGTGTGTGCAGAGTTTGCATGTTCTCCCCATGTTGCAGAGGTTTCCTCCGGGTACTCCGGTTTCCTCCCCCAGTCCAAAGACATGCATGGTAGGCTGATTGGTGTGTCTAAAGTGTCCGTAGTGTATGACTGGGTATGTGAGTGTGTATGTGATTGCGCCCTGCGATGGACTGGCACCCTGTCCAGGGTGTACCCTGCCTTGTGCCCGATGCTTCCTGGGATAGGCTCCAGGTTCCTCGCGACCCTGAAGAAGGAATAAGTGGTAGAAGATGGATGGATGGATATACACTCAGCATTTGGGTATGCTATTAAAAAATGTTGCAGCATAATTCAGTTATTTTCGGGATGGTCCGAATTCTAGGTCAAATTCCAAACTAGACATCTCTGACTTTCTCTCTTCCTCACATTTACTCTAATTAAGTCATACACACACAATTTGTCACAGTCATACACACACGCTTATGAACTTGATTCACCTGGACTTTCAGCACTATTATATATTTATATATTTGCTATTAGCAGTGCTCAGCACTGTTCTCCTGCCATATTGATCAGTTAAAGGCTATGAGTAAATTGTGGGTTACCCTCTCCATTAATGTATTGATTATTCATTTTGAAAGCTTTCCAAATGAAACTCCTTCCAGAAATTTACTACCATATCTAACCTTCCTACAGCTATTTCCAAACCCTGAAAGAGCAATACCACATTCTGCACCTCAGTGGAGGGGAGGGTATTGAGCTATAACTCAGGTTTCTTATTGCATGTGCAGTGCTATTACCGGTGAACGTTCTCGGTTGTGTTGTATAAAGTGTGCAGAAGACTATTACAATGGGACATGTTTAAAGATAGATCTGCCTTATTAATCTGTGGTTTGTAGATTTTAATGAAATACACACACACACACACACACACACACAAAAGGTTTCTTCCTGACTCAATCAACTAAGAATATAAAAGGTCCGATTTTTGTAATAATCATGCAAGCAAACAAATTAAGTTCATTGGAGTATATGGGTGTGGTACAGGTCTAAGTAGTTATAAAAATGAACTGGGTTGGATTAAATACATTATTAACGAGGCGCTGTTAGGTATTATCCAATCATATCAGGTCCTCTAATTTCTTTAAAATCCAAGAACACACCTATATATAATATAATATATGGGAAAGCCTCAGTGATATACAATTCCATTGCACGTAGATAGATAGAGCTTATGTATGAATAACTGACTGGCTGATTTAACAAATATGTTTCTGTTTTCCTGTTTGTGAGTGTTTACTTTGATATGGTAAATTGTATGTGGTAAATATAATATCAGAGGAGACACATTCATTTCTGACTGCAAAATTCACTGAATTGAAGTGGGAGAAAAAGAAGAAATACCTCAGGTCCAAATACCATTTACAATATACCCATTATTTCAATACATTATGATTGTGTCTGCACAAAATAGAGCTAAAAATATATAACCAAATTTAATTTATGTTGCTTAGAGACCTGTGTGAATATAACACCCACACTGAATAGTTCTCTCCCTCTCTTTCTTAGACATCCACCACCCCCATACAGACAAGTACGCCAATATATTCACTAAACAAAATACATTAGATATAACACACATACAATCACACTAATCATATAATAGACAACCACGTCCAACACAAATAAAACCCTCTGCTCCATCTATCATAATGCCCAGAATCAGAAAGAGACAGCTTCAGGACACTGACACTAGTTTCAGTAAAGTGAGCTGTAAATCAAGCCGTCAGCCCTGCCGTCACTTACTGAGATCCTCACATAGCAGTTGTATGTGTGTGTCTGTGAAATTTTTCAGTCACTCGTTCTGAGTTTCTGACAGTAGAAGGTCTAGGATATGGGCTTGTGGTAGGATGTTGAATTTGTTATACAGTTACATGTATTAAACTTGCAATCCAAGCATAGCACAAGTGAAGGTTATGAGTCTTGTTCAAGGGCACAGCAGTAACAACAATCACAAGTATACACAACAACTAGACCTCCAGTGCAACATTCAAGATTTACATTGGAACAGATGCATAGCATAGTGTCCAAAAAAAAACATCTCTTTTCAGTATTCATAGGCCCTGGTGCACTGGAGGTCTTGTGGGCCTCATTTGTGTGCATACAAGCTCCACAAGTCAGTAGGATGTCCCATTTCTCATTTTGGGGTTCAATTGTGTCCTGCCAAGCACCCACTTTAAGCCTTTAATGCACTCTTCAGCAAAGCCAACATCAATAGAGGTCTCATCAGCATCTCTCTCCTAAATCCCCATGTGACACTGGCTGAAATCATGGCAGATGGATATTTGAGAGCAGGGAACAACATGCAATATTGATAAAGAGAAAAACACTCAAAGGTGTCTTTTTCATGAATGTAACATTTAATTGAGCATTAAGATTGCAACTTATGAAAACGAAAAGCTTGCAAAATGTGTCTAATTAAACTGAGAACAATTTTATACCACATAGTTGTTGAAGTCTCTATACTGACTGGTCAGAAGGAATTGATAAATTTTCTCAAACAGAAGCTCTGTCAGAAGTTCTGGATACAAGTCTAATCAGAATTTTATATTAATGGGCTTGTTCTAATACGTTATCAATTCTATAGTAATAATTCATTCACAGGGACTTGTATGGTGCACACTCCTCATAATCTATGGTTAATACGCAACTGTGGTGATATTTAACAATGCAAAATGTATAATCATTAACATGGTATAATCATGAATAAGGAGAGGTTTATTTAACAGGTGTCCTTGCTTTTTAACAGTTTGAGATAAAGTTTTTGTGAAGATTGAAAAAAAGATGGAGTGCTTTGAACTTTGCAGATTCTCTGTAAAAAGCTTATTAACTTCAATAGGCTGTAGAGGCGTTTATAGTTGCTATAACATAAGTGATAACAAGAGCTAACTTGTTTCATGGACGTTCACTGGCAAAGTGTTGTGGTATAAGAGGAAGGAAAGTTTGTCTATTCCTCACTTATCTATAGCCTGCGTTGTTTGATACAGATGTGAAGATTATACACAGCTGATTTCATCATGATTTATTCTTTGCATTTGTCAGTGCAGTCTGATGAAATGTCTTAGAACTTCATTTACCTTTAACGGGAAATTTACAAATGGTTTATTGATCATCACACAAGCATTTGTGGAATTTGGCAGGTGCACTTATCCAGAGCGAATTATAATTATCTCATTTGCTTTACAACTGAGCAATTGAGAGGGCCTTTCTCAATGGTGTTGCCGGTATTTGAACTCATGACCTTCCAATCACAAGTCTAACATACTAACCACTGAACTACCACTTGCCTAGAGAAGAGTCCTGTTGGAATTTTAGCAACATTTAAGCAATGACTGTGTGTACCAAGGGTTTTTACACTCATGCACATTCCATAGCAAACACACCATATTTTTCCACTTTCTGCCATCAAGTGCACATTTGCATGACTACAAAGCAAAGGGTGCCATTTCAAATGGATCTTCATATAGTATATGTGTATTTTTGTATATGTGTGTACTGAAGAGAAATAAAAGAAAGTCTGAAAAGCCTGACTGCTCAGGACATAAAGGTTCCTTTACTGTGTAGATTGTCTTACCATTGATCCAGTGAGCCTCAGGATCGTGTACGTAGAAATCAGGACTAAACAGATCCTCCACTGTCAGTTTAGTGTCACTGCCAGCGAGAGTGTCCGCTGTCAAACATGCACACACACACACACACACACACACACACCCAACACAAATGCAAACTCATAAAGAATTAACACTAAGCAGGGAAGCTCAACGTTCAAGCTAGACGATACAAACATTTTCATTATTTCATTTCAGTTTTGGATTGCAATTTCCAAATTTTGGATGGAGGTTATTTTTATCCACAATGTGTATCCAGTATGTGAGTTAATATTAACTTACATTAGGTTAATATCATCTTTAATCTAATGAGCAAAATATTTGTTAGCAAATATCTTAGCATAATTATGCATTCTAATTTTATTTTAATAGGCTATACTTTTTAATCCACATGTAATTAAATCCAAACGATAATCTATTACATTTATGTTAATGGCATTTGGCAGACACTATTATCCAAAGCAACTTGGTTTATTTATACATCTGAGCAGTTGAGTGTTAAGAGACTTGCTCAACAGCGACAGGGTTTGAACTCACAACCTTCAGCTAAATAGGCCAATGTCTTAACCATTGAACTACCACTGTGTAATGTATAACTTCTGATTACTCATTATGCATTATACATGTCTGTAACAAAATTTCTCTTAATGCTTTTTCTTCTTTTACTAATGACTTCCTTGAGTGGTTTTAACATAAGATTAAAACCTTAAACAGTGTTAGGTTGCACATTTGCTCACATCATATATGGTCATTCATAATATTACTAAATTATTTACAATTACCAAATTACTACAACTGGTAAATACGAAGCTTATTGTATGTGTATGTGTGTACCTGGAGTGAGGAGGATGACCGACATGGTTATGAGCGAACAGACCAACAGAATGACCAACAAGGCAATGGCTATTCCCTTCCAGTTTCTCTGAGGAGGACTCACTCCACCCAGGTCCTATAGAGAGAGAGACAGAGACAGAAAGAGTTAATTCACAGGAAAAAATAAAATAAAATAAACCAGCCAATACTCAGTATTTATCCACAGCAGAAATGTTCTTCAGAGATTAAGTAGATTGTTAAGAGTGCTTGGTTATGCAGGTCCAGGTTTCAAGCTGTTAAAGCATGCATGTATTCTCTCTCTGCTCCATGTGCCTCGGGACATTACTAAACCCCATCTGTGTATTATGTATCAGCCTGTCATTGTTTGTTGTACACAGCCATTCAATAATTCATCTGGTCTGCATAAAAGTCACGACAAGAATATTTCAAGATGATATGCAATAATATTGTGAGGAGCTCGTTTGTGTGTTAGAAATACATCATACATATACAATAAATGTAGAGTTTGTTTTTTTGCTTTGTCTGTGTAAGAGCAAACCAAAGTGATTTTGACAGTTCTTCCTTTTTCCAGCTGAATTCAATGGTAATGTTTACCACCTTTATATCTAAAAAAAAAAAAGACTACTCTTGACATAACCAGCATAACCATAGCAGTTGCAATTTTCTGATTATTACAGTATGGCACAATTTACCGTTATTTAATATGGTGGATCCTATAGAAAATCCATGCTCAAGTTAAGAAAATTCAAAGTTTCTACGGTTATTCTGCATTTACATTTACCATACACAGTCATGCAATATCCAAATCCTTAGCTTTAATCATTAGTCTCATAGACTAGCCTAAGACACTCAAACACTCTGTTTTGATGCATAAAGCCGGCAATAAGAATACTGAACACCATTAAAATAGTTTGTAACAACTATATTTAACCAAGCAAGCAAATGTTTTTCAAGCAAATGCTTTGTATTATTATTTTTTTCTTTGGCAGTCATTACAGCTCTGATGCAATGTATCATGAGGTGTTTAGATTGTCAAATGTGGCTTGGGAAGACAAATTAATTTATGCTTAACATCTGGGTAAACTGCACCTCGGACCTCCTAAAGTGGTTAATGTGACCACAAATCCTTTTGAGAGCTGTCTTGGGAGTATTTACAATTGCACTTTTATGTGGATAATCATTAATTTCATCATTCTTAGTAAGTATCATAGGGTGGGAACACTGGGCACAATCCTTTTAACACTGGGCGCAAGACAGGAATACACCATGTGAGCACCATGCACATACACACACACACACACACGCAGGCTGCGTCTGAAATCACATACTGTGAGAGTACCTATTGTATGCGATTCACTACTTACTGCTCAGCCGATCATATGTACTGATCAGTATATGTGTGTAGCATGATTACAATCCAGACATGCTACATACGCCATGTTGTCATCGTCATGTGACCATCACCTGTTTTGTTGTAGCCCCTAATCACCTTGTCTTATATATCACACAAAAACAATCATTTGTGATTGACTGTTTGCAGAATGAGTCAAACAGCCTTTTCCTGAGAAAGTATAGACTAGTTCTGAACTGAAGTGCTTCTTGATACTAAGTTCAATCTTATAACTCTCACACTGCAGCGCTGAGCTGTATTGTATAAGGCCAGTGCAGGTTCAGCTACTTCACTTTCCTCTACTCCACTCATCTCACTCAGGCTTTGACTTCACCATGCAACCTGACTGGCTAAGAAGGTGTGTGTGTGTGTGCGTGTGTGTTTGTGTGTGTGTGTGTACATATATGTAAGTAGGAGAGTGTGTCCTTGAGGAATGACAGAGGTTATAAATTGAAGAATGTGTTATCTTCTTTCTCCTTCTCCCACTTCTTGCAAGACTCATTTATAATGTGCTGTATGGGCAAGAAAGAGAGAAAGTGCATTAGATGAGTGTTTGAAGGCATACAGTGCTCTCCACTAATATTGGCACCCTTGGTAAATTTGAGCAAAGAAGGCTGTGAAAAATTGTCTTTATTGTTTAACCTTTACATTTTTGTTCAAAAAAATCACAAAATACTCTGCTCTCATGGATATCAAACAATTGCAAACCAAACACTCGTTTATGAGCCTGATGAGGTTGGAGAATACATGGCAAGGGATCTGAGACCATACAAATCTCTCCAGATCCTTCAAATTTTGAGGTCCATGCTGGTGAACTCTCCTCTTCAGTTCACCATACAGGTTTTCTATGGGGTTCAAGTCAGGGGACTGGGATCGCAGGACCTTGATTTTGTGGTCAGTAAACCGCTTTTGTGTTTTGATGTATGTTTTGGATCATTGTCCTGCTGGAAGATCCATCCACAGCCCATTTTAAGCTTTCTGGCAGAGGAAGTCAGGTTTTCATTTAATATCTGTTGATATTTGATAGAGTCCATGATGCCATGTGTCCTAACAAAATGTCCAGGTCCTCTGGCAGAAAAACAGCCCCAAAAAATTTAAGAGCCACCAACATATTTAACTGTGGGAATGAGGTACTTTTCCATATGGCTACCTCTCTTTTGTTTATTGCCAAAAAGCTCTATTTTGGTTTAATTTGACCACAGAACCCGATCCCATTTGAAGTTCCAGTAGTGTCTGGCAAACTGAAGACGCTTGATTTTGATTTTGGATTAAGCTTTTTTCTTGAACCCCTTCCAAACAACTTGTGGTGATGTAGGTGACTTCGGATTGTAGTTTTGCAGACTTTCTGACCCTAAAACACAATTAACATCTGCAATTCTCCAGCTGTGATCGTTGGAGATTTCTGGCCACTCAAACCATCCTTTTCACAGTGCGTTGACCTGTATAAACACCCGTCAAATTCCAGGTCGAATCCTAACATTTCCATTTGACTGGAACTTCTTAATTATTGCCCCGATGGTGGAAATGGGCATTTTCAATGCTTGTGCTATTTTCTTATAGACACTTCTCATTTTATGAAGCTCAACAACATCACAGCTATAATCCTTGGTCTAACCCATTGTTATGAATGACTAATGACTAATTTGGCCTAAGTGTTACCTTATAAATCATATGGTTGAACAATTTCCTGTTCCTAGTCACCCAAGTATACAAAAAATGTGTAAATATCAAAGAATACTTCAAATATATTTTTCTCATATACATTCACAGGAGTGCAAAATAATTGTTGTTGCACAACTATACTTAACAAAGATATTTTTGATAAACCTGTGTTTTTTAGCAATTGTTTGATATCCACGAGGGCAGAGTATTTTTGTGAATTTTTTGAACAAAAGATCAAAACTATTGTTTAAACAATAACAGTAATAGTTTACACTGCTTCAGACCCTTCTTTTATTCATATTTCCCAAGGATGCCAATATTAGTGTAGGGCACAATACAGTACACACACAAATGCACCGGTTTATACCAAAAGCCAGACCTCCATTACAATTTACAGGCCAAACAATCAGCAGGGCTATAAAGTTGAGGTCACCCAGACAGGCACACACATCCATTTCATGTACGCAGATGCTTTCTTTTTCTCTCTGAGTCTCTCACTTTCTCATGTTTGATTTTCTGTCAGGGCTGCACTATATCTTCCAAATGTGCTTCTTTTTCTCTACTCACTGTGTTATTCTGCAAAGGGAGAAAGAGCCATAAATACACACCTGGCAGAAAGAAAAGGAGAAAGAGAGTCATGCAACACAACTGCTGTGTGTGTGTGTGTGTGTGTGTGTGTGTGTGTGTGTGTGTGTGTGTGTGTGTGTGTGTGTGTGTGTGTGTGTGTGTGTGTATCTGTGTGTGTGTGTTTGTGTGTGTTTGTGTGAGGATGCTATACGCCTGTCTGTCTTAACAGATCTAGCAGCTGGTAACACACCACAACCAACAATAATTCCCTCAAATCTAAACCTAATCCCTAAGACCTAAAGAAATCTTCTCACTGTAAGAGTAGTGGAAAATAATTCATTTCCAATAACATGCCCGCACACCATAATCTGTAAGGAAAATAATGAGTAGATCACTGTAATTAAACCTATCAGACCTTCCACCTCTGCAGTGGAATCAAATTACACGTTATATTTAGAGAATCTCAGACTTTTCGATTCTTTCCTGTGAAAGTGGAGATTGTACAAACTTATAATTTGCCAGCCTTGGCATATTATAGTTCATCCCAACTTTATATCTTTACACTTTAAACTAAACAGTAACCATGTTGTTCTGCATTTGACACAATTTCCCTAAAAAATTATGATCTTAGGGTGGAATGGTGGTGCCGGTAGTTGCATTGCTGTCTCACAGCTCAATTTTGAGTTCAGGTTACTATCTGTGTGGAGTGTCCGTGCATGTTCTCGCAGTGTCTGAGTGGATTTCCCCAAAACATTCTAGCAAGTGAATTGGTGACTCTAAATTTCCACTAGGTGTGAACAAGAGTGTGTTTTCCCTAGGTGTGCAAGGTTGTCTGTGATGAACTGGCGTCCTATCAGGGGTGTAATCTTGCATCGCAACTAGTGTTCCTGGATATGCTCTGGATCCACCACAACTCTGAACATAATAAAGCAGTTAATGAAGATGAATGAATGAATTCATGGTGATCATGTGATATGCAAGGCTTAAAATGTTATGACCAACTTGACCAGCTATTCAAACACTGATCAGTTAAAACCCTTCCCATGACAAATCAGCATATAACGGAGATATAACTGGTCTGATGAGATGATTAATCATGTTTGAATTAAGGAAAGTCAGGTAAAAGAAATTC